GTTTCGCTAACCCGCAGGTCAACAAAATCCTGTCGAGAACGAGGTTAGGCTTAACCAGTCGTAATCGTTACAACGCAGCAGTCAAGGGAGAGGACCGCCATGAGAGAAAGAGCCCAGGATAGATTCGACAGGCTCGTGGAAAAGCGCTGGTTGGCCAGAATTGACGAGTTGGAGAAGGATGGGAGGACTCTACTGGTGCGGAGGTTGACCTGCTGAAGATGGCGTCGTGCAAGGGCTTCTTGACAGATGGGGAGATCAACATCCTTTTCGGACATCAGGCAGGTAACCAACAACATGTCTATCGAGTTGTACTCGGTTGGGTGTCCAAATAAGTACGGGTTTTGCGTGAAGACCAACTATTCATTATAAGACAGAATCCTAAATCTGCCCTCTACCCTCTAATGCAGCTGACGCAGATGATGTTTCTCACGGGAAACGCCGCCACCCTCCTTCTACCAGCCCCAATTTTGGAACAGCAACAACTTCGGATCACGGTAAGAGGCATCAGCAAGTGCTTTAGCTACAAATCATCCTATTATATTGTGGAAGAAATATCTTGAACATAGAAAAATGTCAGCTCGTATTGCGGGATTATTTTGTTCCTTCTGTAAAACGTTTCATGGAGGCATCCTTCACCAGTCCATTTTGTGTTCATTCTGGAGGTCAGTGGGGGTTCTCGATCATAGTTTTGGAGATTTGACTGGAAAAGTCAAGCTTTTTCTTTCCTGAAATCCATTTCAATTGCTCGCAGAACACTGATCTCATCTAAATAAAGCTTTCCATAACTCATAGCGTCTCTTCCTGCAACAGGAGCTAGTAAGGGAAGCCACACCAGGGGAAGGGCATGAATCGGACAACAGCAGTGGTTTTCACACCAGCCATATGTATTTCCGAGAGTTTGAGAAGACGGATCTGATGGAGCAGCTGGATGCAGGTGGAGAGGAGAGTGTAGAGGGAGAGGCAGGGAACGAAGTGGGGCAAGCGATTGTTCTGGCGATGTCGGGCCCAAAATCTGAACAGAAACAGGGCACTGTGGATCTGCTTGCGTGGAAGGATAGTTACAGGGCTATTTCACGAAAAGGAGTCATCGAGTGTGCTGTTTGCGAGTCTGGAAAGTTCAAGAACGGGTCGGGGGTAACGAAGCACAATGCCAGCAAGCGACACCTACTCAATGTCCGACTTAGGTTGTACGAGAAGTTCCCACATCTAGCATATGACATCAATAAGATCACTGGAAGGTACGGTTGAAGATGTAGGGACTGAGTCCATGTACATATTATTACCTATATTATTAATCGCACTTTGTGTCGACTCTTCAATCTAGCGTTCCGTATCGCTGCATGCGTTGGTTCTTTGGCTGTCATGCATGCAGTAATCAAGGATCGAGTAGATCTTTGAAAGAAAACCACATTTGACAAAAAAAATCAGACTATGCAAACTTTTTGTGATCCGATGCCTCCTTTTGACATGTTGAAAGTCGTGTCTGTTGGTAATCATACTACTGATTATACTGCCAGTTGAGCCCGCCGAAAGTCTGGACGCTTACACAGCCTAGATGTCGGTCTACTTCGATATCCTCGTCAACTGTCTCGAAAATATCGACATCCGTTCGTTCATTATGGACCACACAACCATTCCAGGGCCAAGTTCGGAGAAGCCCCGTGAACCGTCAGATTTAAAATATCGGCTCAACTTCGATCCTGAGCCGTCCGTACCCTCTTATATTGCTCTTTATCGAAAACAGCTGGGTTCACCCGCGAGTTTGGCAGAACCCAGCCAGGATCGAGGAAGAAGACGACCATTCAGACTTGGAAAGGAGGAGGACCTCAGGGCGCCATTTCAAATTTCAAAATGCGCTGCTGGTCGTTAACAAGGAAGATATCGATACTAAGGTCCTGGCACATCAAGAGCATCCCTGTTCATCAGCGCGCTGCCGAGTTGGCAAGGCTTCCCGCCCAGTGCCACATGAGCATGGGATAAGATTTGAATCAAGGTCGCAGGTGCCTGGGCTGGTGGTTGTCCACGTGAAGGTGTCACATCTGAATGTGCACCTCCCACCAAGATTTTTTGCTGATGGTCAGACTTGGTCAGCCCCTTCTTGATCCTCTTCAGCAGACTTTGACCGCTGGGTTTCGTCAGATTTGACTCCAGGCAGGAGGAGTGGAGTGCTTCCTTTCAGCCCTTGCAAGGGATTTTGCTTCCTTCTGAGATTCCATCAGCCAGACTGCTTTCTCAAAGTGTTGAAATGGCGGGAGGCGAACGTGAGGGGCACAAGAAGCGCGTGGAGCCCAGGTTTGCTGATAAGAAGCGGCCCAGATCAGAAAGTGCACTTGAGTTGAGGGCGGCGCGCCTTCAAATCCCGCCAAGCTTTGTAGGAACAGAAGACATGGTATTCTGTCCTTTTCATGGAAAGCGTCTGCTGGGGGACGAACTCAAGTGCTCCACTTGCCGAAGAGGGTATGTGGACAGACGGGTCGTACATACGCCTGGCAATATGATTGCTGTCGATTACACCCAGTGGATTGTTTGGTGGAGGCGGGTGCTTTTCAATAGGATGAGACCCCCCTTTCACAGCAATGTCCTTTATAGGTCTGAGCCGCATGTGGACATTCAGGTCATTTGGAAAGCTTGCTGCCAAGATAAGTCTGGACCTTCCTGGGACACTCGGTCAGGGGAGAAAAACATCAAAGAGCTGCAGACCACTTGGGCTGTCGAGGATTTCTTTCGGTTTGGAAGTTTTGAAGCGGGCTACTTGAGCTGCAAGTTGACGTCTTCAAAGGAGCTTTTGATTATTGTCCCTCCGGTAGAGATCACTCATGTAAATAGCAAGCTTACAGGTCAAAGGTGTGAAATCATCTATGGCTGGTGCCAGCTGAACTCGTCGGGAGCATTCAGAAAGGCAGAAGGGATGCCGCAACCTGCTGAAGGATGGGCGCATGTAGAAGCAAGGGCAAGGGACGCTGCAGCTGGCATGCTGTTCTGCAAGTACCCTATCTCAGAAGAGTTGGTGGCCAAGTCAGAGGCAATCTTGCGAGCGAAGTATGATTCTGAGGAAGCGTTCATAAGAGCTCGTGAGGCGCGCCAGGATGCACGCAGGAACATCGTGCCGGAGAAGGAGGACCAGTCTCAGGCAGCGCAAGATGCAAGGGTGAGAAGGGAGGAGAAAGCCATGCAAACAGCAATCCGCTACTACGAGTACCAGAAGAATCCTTACGAGACGTACAAGTTCAAACCACGACCCGGTGAGTAAGGTCTTGCTTTCTGTCAGTGTTTGTGCTTCTGTGTTTTGTTCAAATTTTGTTCAAATTGTTCCAGTACATGTTGGGGCTTTGTCATCTTCAGAGTGTTCCATAAGCCTGCACCATGCATCTTGTGTTCCAATGAAGGTTCGGGCGCCTCCGATTTGCTGGAAGTCTGGTTGCTGGTATTGCTTGGTTGTGTGACAAACATGCTTGAAGATTGTTCAGAATCAGCAATCCATGCAGTTTTCTAAACAGCATGTAAAGGAACCAATTAGCCGCCTCGTCATTTGAAGCGAGGCGAGGTGGCTTTTGGTACACTCTACTGCTGCTTAGAAAATGTTAAGTGGCTAATGAATTCATGTGTTGACAATTGGTCGAGCATTTTCAATTCCAAGCCGGACAAACTTACAATAACAAGTGTCTCTTGTTAGCGACTGTAATTTCTGCAGCTATGACAACACTTTCCAACTAATTCCTTCTTCTTGCTGATGCAGGGATGACCCTTCCACTCGCAGTCAACCCCCCGGCTCCTCTGCCCCTGCCCCCGCCCCTGCCCCCCCTGCCAGGAGCGCCTCTGCCTCTGCCTCTGCCTCCCCCCGCGCCTGCTGCTCCGCCCCTGCCTGCGCCGTCTCCTGCCAGCGCTGGCCCATCTGCAGCGCTCCCTGTCGCTGCGGCGCCCCTCTCCACCTCGGCGCCCATGTCCCCCAGGCCTCCTGCTGCGGCGGCCCCCATACCACCATCTGCAGCTCTGCCTCCGCGCGCACCGCTCTCGCCTGCCACCATTGCCTCGGCGCTCCGAGGTACTTGGCTGTCTGCCCACTCCCTTGCATCTATCCTGTTGGCTTCTGCTGTCTGCCTTCTGATTTCCACAAAGCGTGCTACAATAGAGCCCAAATTGGGCTCAAGTGCGCTGATTTTTTTGTCCAGCTGGGCTTTGCTCCGACTATCAGGTAGCTGTCCTCGCCTGACTGCTCTGTCGACTCTGTCCTTGGCTGCCTTCTTTGCGAGTTCGTAACCCCCAAGATGCCGCTTCTCGTTGCGAGTCAGAGGTGTGGGCACCGTCCTTTTCAGCGCGCCCCTCTCCCTCTCCTTTGCCAGAATCTGTGCCTGCCTGCCCTTGTCCATCGTCTCGCTCCGCAGTTGGTTGTTGGTGAACAACTTTGCATCCGTTTTCCCCTGCTTCAGGAGGGCCTCCAACCACTGCTGGCTCACGTCGCTGATGTTGAGCGGGACGTGCTTGATCATCTCCGGAAAGTGGCACATGCCGTGGTGCATGTACAAGGTAACGAGATCCATCCCCACTGCGCTAACAAATGAATCGACGTAGGCCACAGCCATGTCCTGCGCTCTTTCCCCTTTTTGCTCTCGCTGCTCTACAACCAGGGGATTGGGGAGGGGGGTGCGGATGTAGTCGTACAGTGCCGCCAGGTTTGCCCACACCAGCATGTTTGCTGCCCGCTTCTCCTCGTCGTCAATGGCGATTGTACAGAAGGCAGTGTAAACCCTTGGATCCAGCGTCACCTCAGCTTCCCTGCAGTTTGGCATTGAAAGTTTTGTTCAAAATTTGATGGTTGGCTAATCCAGAACCCTCCTTACACTTGCAGGCTGCTCCAGAGGCTGCTCCAGAGCAGACGACATTGATGGTAGAAGGACGGCGCAGGAGATTTTGAGCCTGTCAGATCTGGAGATACAATCTGGTGAGATGATATCTGCTACATTTGATGGCGCTGACAGCCAAAGTGCGCACAGCCTCTACTGCAAAATTCATATCAGCACCTGCACCTTGGCAAGGAGAGCTTGTTTGTAAAGCATGGGAAGGGATCCAGGAGCTAGGAGCGTAGAAAGGACTTTCATGTCTACATGTACTCAGCATTCGAGGACTTCGTCCTGGTGGTAAATCAATCTGGAGGCACAGGTTGGGCCTGGCACCAGATTGTCACCCTTTTGCGCTGAGTATGTGTCACAGCCATGACTGTTTGTGGAACTGTTTGCACATCAGAATGTGCAGAGATTTTGCAGATTGGCTGTAATGACCTGCTGAAATCTGAATAGAATGCTATCTCAGAAAAAATGGTTTAAAATGCTCACCTTCCAATGAAGTTGATAGGCTCAGTATCCTTGGCACTCGCCACCGTCTTCGTCCGAATGACCACCTCCTTGCACCCAAGCTTCAGGTCCCTGATGACCTCGTTGATGGCTGCCACCTTCTCCTTCAATTCCAGGTTGACCTCCACCGTCCGCTGGAACGTGATGGCGGCGCACCGGAGGAGCTTGTGGAGGATGCAGAGGTACCACTCCTCCATGGGGAATTTGAAGAGAGGGGGTTTGCCGAACCGCACGCCGTGGTGAGTGGTTTGGTAGACGAGTTCCTGGTTTTTGTTCTGGGGGGCGGGAAGGGCATCGACTGTTTCTTGGTCTGGGAAAGCTACCCCGCAGTATGGGCAGGATTCCTCCGGTCCAGTTTTCAAAGGCCTGTGGGCCCCCGCAGCGAGTCTCTCAATCGTGCGCTTCTCTGCTTTCACGGGGACCCGCCTGCCGGTCTCATCAGTGATCACCTTCCCAAAGTCTTGTTGCATGCACTCGCACAGGAAGCACCCCCAGGTGTGGGAATGCCCCCTGTGGCCCGCAACCTCTGACATCCAGACATTGTCTCCCCCCACACTTTGCGTCACTGTGTAGTGCGTTCCTTCCACTGTCAGACCCTCCTCCTTCAGCTGCTCCATGACTGGAAGGATTGGAGCTAGAAACTCGGCATTCTGGTCGTAGTCGTCCTTGCCTTCAAACTGCACTACGGTGCGCGCTTGCTGAGGGGCCTGAAGAATAACCTTTTCCAGGGTCAGAATCCTGAACCCTATCTTGGAAACTTTTACCTTTCGGTAATATTGAGCAGCGTCTCCCCCCCAGTGGATCCTCAAGAAGTCCTCCAAAAGGTCCCTCCTTTCTTGCAGGAACCCTATCGCCCGCTCATCCACGACTGCCTCAATCAGCAGTTTGCTGAGATCCAGCCACGCTGCGCTGCCATCCTCGTTCTGCATCAAGGGATTCATGGCGGCGATCTCCTTCCTCAGCGCGTCCACCCTCTTGCACGAGGGCAGCAGCGGTATGAACAGCCCACTTCCCTTGCCACAAAGCTCTTTCCTGTCCCAGTGCTTTGTTGCCTCGTTGTAATCCTTTCCCAGGAGGTGAATCATGTCCTGCCACTTGTGACCGTGCCCAATTTTGCAGTGGATCTGCATTTTGAGCGCGCGGTCTTCAGTCCAATGATCTCTGATTTCATCCAACACATCACTTTGAGCTGGGAGAAGCCAGTCTGGATTCAGTTTGCAGAGCTCGTCAAACTCTGGCTGTGTTATGTTGGCGTTGAGCACTAGGTTGAAATCTGCTGGGTTGCGCCGAAAGTGCTCATACAGGGCTTGCTGCCTCGCTCCCACTGAAGCAAATCTCTTTGTCAAGAATTGCCGCACTTGAGCTGCCAGCTTGGTTTTGACCCCAGCCGAGGGGCCACCCCTAATCTGCCTAATTTGAGTTGCTCGTGGAGGTTGACTGGCTAGACCTTGAGCAAGGAGCAGATTTTTTCTCTTGAGGCTTCTGACTGTTCTTGCTAGAGCCGCTTCCTTGTCTTCCTTCTCTTGCAATGCACTGACCAGCTTAGTGTTCTCCTCAAGGACTTTGCTTGATGCCTCCTCCGCCTGAGCATTGTGATTAGCTAGCTTTTCTTCCAGTCTTTTGTTCGTCGCCCTTAACCTTTCATTGACTGTGCGGTGTGCAGTTGTTGAAGGCCCAATCTTTGCCCAACGCCCACCCTGACGAGGTTGCGCTAGCGTCAGAGCCGGGGCATCAGCTTCCGTGTCGCATAGAGAGCTCCTGGCTCGCTTGGTCCCCCAGCCCCAAGCGCCTGACAGACGGGCTGCCATTAGGATGCTCCACCACCTCCTGATGAGACTGTCATTGTAGACTGTAGTGTTATTACAAGTTTGCTAGCTAGGCTCGAACACTGCAGGGCTAATCATTTGAGTTGGCAGTCTGAGTTGGTTGGATAAGAATTTTGTGGCCAAGGCGAATTCTGTATTTCATTTATTATGTATGTGTTGCTTGCAATAAGTATCTCCTCGGTGTCTCTGATCAAAAGCGAGAGTTCCTGCTACGATCAATGCGAAGACCCAATTCTGCATTATTTGTGCTATGTTGCATTAAGCTGAATGCTCACCGCACCTTGCTAAGTAGTGCTCTGTATGATGTATTGGTCTCCGTATACATACCGTTCAATGGAGAAATCTGTTTTTATATGCGAGATTGCAACCATCTAGTAGGATTGCATCCTGCTGTAAGTTTGCACTTGCAAGCTTGAATGCGTCGAGTTGCATAGCAAACTTTCAGGTGTTCATTTTCCGTAAACGTTCCATGCGGCTCCTCATTTAGCCAGTGGATCAGTGGCTGATTCAGTGTTTTAGAATCCGACTTGCAAAACGCCCGATTCTAAAGTTCGATACCGTCCAAGTTTTATTGTCGAAATGTCCGCAGAAAATGTTCGACGATAAATAATTACGGACTTTCGTATCGGCGGCCGCGCGTGTATAGCCTATGAATTAAAAATCGACTCGCCGAGCGTCC